GGAAGCATTCTATAATAAAGCAATGTTTCCCATCCTGAATACTATGGACATTTGGGGCAGATAATTCTTTGCTGTGGGGATGCCTCCTGGTGGATGGTGGAATGTTTATGAGCATCACTGTGGATGCCGGTGTCAATCCCTGACCCCCAGTGTGGCCATCGCAAATGTCTCCTTGCGTGCGTGCTCTGTCGCTTCCGTTGTGTCCAACTCTTTGCAACTCTGTGGACTGTAGCCTGCCAGGATCCTCTGTCCATGGGATTTTCCAGGCAAGGATACTAGAGTGGGTTTCCATGCCCTCCTCCAGGGGATCTTTCCGACCCAGGAACCAAACCTGGATCTCCTGCATTGCAGGCAGATTCTTTACTGCTGAGCCGTCAGGAAAGCCCCCAAAATGTCTCCAGACACTGTCAAATGACCTCTGCGGGGCAAAATCGTCTCCAGTTGGGAACCACTGAATTTAAGAGACTAAAGTGGAGGGAATTAGAGTAGGGGTGGGAGCCTGGAGTCACACTGAGGCGAGGCTGCAAGTCTTTTTGGGGCCACCACTGCCACACGCTCTGTGCCTGAGCAGACAGATGCGGGGTCTGGGCTCCTGCTGACCCGCGTTCCTGGCTTCGCCCTGAGTCCTCCAGCCCTCCACAGTGGTGGCAGGCGAATGCGATGCTGCCGCTCGGATGGGCTGGTGCAGCCTGTCGTCCTTGGAGAGGGTGACCAGTGATGCCCTGCTGGACAGGGCTCAGCCGAACCTTCCTTTAAAAACCCGATCATTCTTGTTGTTGTTGTTTAGATGGTAAGGTGTGTCCCGCTCTTTTTGTGACCTCATGGACTGTAGCCCGCCAGGCTCCTCTGTCCATGGGATTCTCCTGGAAGGAATACTGGAGTGGGTTGCCATTTCCTTCTCCTGGGAATCTTCCCAGATCAGGGATAGAACCCAAGTCTCCTGCATTGGCAGATGGATTCTTTACCACCGAGCTACCTGGGAAGCCCTCGATCATTTGTGATTGCTTTCCAGATGACAGAATCCATGCTCCATGAAAACAACCTGGACAACCCAGAAAAGTGCACCAAAAGAAGTCACATGTAATTGTACTGGGCCAAGGGAACCACTGTTTACCACGAACCAAAGCAAAGCAGATTTCTCTCAGACTTGGTCTTATTTATTTATTATGTTTTTAGAGCCTGCCTTTTCCACTTAAATGCACGGTCTCTGCGTTAGCACAAAGCAGCCAGCAGAGTTACGACCCCTGGGGCTGGTACCAAGTGGTGAGTCACTGGGAAAGCTTGGCAGGCGCCCTGCCCATGTCAACGGCAAATGTCAGGCTGCACCTTCGCGGTTCTGCTCTTTGCTGAGAACCCGCTCGGTGCTGCCGTCTGTGCATCCTCTGACGCTGTTTATAATTTCAGCTCGAACAGTTTTCCTGGAGGTCATGAATGACAGGTTTACTGCCCCTCCACCCTTCTGCCACTCAGAGTTTCCCTCAATGATAGCTGAGAAATGACAACTTCCAGCAGAACCAGTCTGCCCTTTTTAGCATGAAAATTGAGAAAAGACTGCTCGGCCTCTACAGAAGTGAAAAGAGTAAAAATGTTAGCTGCTTAGTCGTGTCCATATCTTTGTGACCCCACGGACTGTAACCCGCCAAGGCTCCTCTGTCTATGGGATTTTCCAGGCAAGAATACTGAAGTGGGTAGTCATTCCCTTCTCCAGGGGATCTTCCCGACCCAGGGGTCAAAGCCGGGTCTCCTCCACTGCAGGCTGATTCGTTACAGTCTGTGTCATCAGGGAAGCCCAGCCTCTACAAAGTCCGAGGTTAGAAGTAATCATCACAGTGGGCATTCCCTGAGGACTTACTCTGACCCCAGCTGCTATAACAGCTTTTTAATGTAACATGCGATCTTACGTCCTTCTTATGCTGGAGGTATTCTATTATTCCCACTTGACAGATGAAGAAACTGAGGCACAGACAAGTGAAGAAACCTGGACAGGATCCCATAGATAGAGGTAGTGATGGAGACAGGATCTGTATCCTGGCAGTCTGGCTCTAGGCAGGGGTCAGCAACCTTTTTCTATGAAAGGCCAGAAAGTCAATATTTTAAGTGAGCTTCTGTAGCAGTAACTCAACTCCATTTTTGCGGAGAAAAGTGGTCACAGACAAGAGTAAATGAGCAGATACGAACATGGAGATTTAAATTTCATATACTTTTCACATGTCACAAAATAGGATTCTACATTAGATTTTTTTAAAAAAGTGTAAAAACTATTCTTACTTCTCAGGCTGTACGGAAATGGGTGGTGGGCTGGAGTTTGTAGTGGCTAACCCAGTTTCGGAGCAGCAACTCCTAATCACACAGTTGCTATAAAAGTGCCATTCCCTGATGTAGGAAAATTCAGACCCAAAAAAAGATACAAGGGGCTGTATGATATGGATGAGAGTGCCCCATGCACCAAGGACTTCAGCCACCATCCTGCTGTGTCTCAGCGAGCGCCTCTGCCAGGGAAGGGTCATTTGTGGGCATAAGGACAGGAAGGCTGAGAGAAGTCAAGTATTCAAATGCAATAATGATTGACAACTCAGCCATAATAAAAACACATTTATGGAATTCTAATGTGGGCTCAGAAAACTGATTTCATTTATTTAAACAACTTGATCGACAGCTGCTTGTTGGGAGCTTGTCTGAAGCTGGGCTCCCATGAATGAATACCCGTCGGTAGGAGCACTGCAATCTGTTAACACTTGGTGGTTTACATGGACTGAGTGGATACCCTGGGTGGGGGTGGGGCTGGCACAGGTCCTTCTGCTCCCTCTGGCCTTCCTTCTCAGCTGACATGGAGCCAGGGCCCCTGCCCTGGCGAACCCAGACCAAACAAACTGTCCTGGGGCCATGCGGCTTCCAGGGGAGAAAGCTTTGGAGAAGGAATTTAGTATGGACCTGGCCACCTGGCCCATGTCCCCAGCAGATGCTAATGTGTCTGGCTGCTTAGCAGGGGCTCCGAGAGAATGTGGTACAAAAAGGACTCTTGGCATACCTTGTCGCTGCGCGGCTCTGAAATGCTTCCAGAGGCCTGGCCACCGCCTCCCTGTGGCCTTCCTGGCTCTGGTCCCACCTGATGGCAGATGGCAGAACCACGGGTGGGGTGGGGCCTGGGAGGGGGTGTCTGGGGAAGGTGGCTGTCTTTTCTGTGCCTTGGGTATCACTGTCCCAGCGTGAGCTGTCACGTCTGTCCCCTCCTCTCCAAGAGGATGCTTAGACTTTGGGGGCACTGATGGGAGAGTCAGATCCCAGGAGGGCAGCGAGAGGCCTTTTCCTGTGGCTCCTTGGGGTGGTGGGTGTGTATGAATGGCCTCCTCTCAGATGACTTTGGAGTTGGAAAGGACCTTGGTAATCAGTAGTCTAATGCAGAGGTCCCTAACCTCCGGGATCTAAAGCCTGATGATCTGAGGTGGAGCTGATATAATAATAATAGAAATAAAGTGCACAATAAGTGTAATACACTTGAATCATCCCCCAGCTACCCACCCTCTCCAATCGGTAGAAAAATTGTCTTCCACAAAACCAGTCCCTGGTGCCAAAAATGGTTGAGGACTGCTGGTCTAATGGTACTCAACCTGGACCCCAAAGCAGTAATGTAGGATGTTTGTCCCTGGTGTTTTGTCTGTCTATATATATATATATATATATATATATATACACACATCAAACAAAGGAAATTAAATCCATAGCCATGACGAGCCCTTCCATGCTAACAGTACTTTTGAGAGCTCCTTTGCTTTGGAATTTATCTGCTGGGTGAGTCAGTGTTGGTTTATGCCCATTGATAAAAAGCTCTGGTTAACAGTGATTTATATCTTGGATTAGTAAATCTGAGAAGATGAATTAATTATTGCTTAATAAGTGTGTGTGCTTGCTTGACACATGTTTAGGGAGCTAAGCATGAAATCTCTCGGGAGAAAGTTCTAAAAGAAGATCTTTTGAAGAGATGGGGGAGAAACTGCTGATCTGGTGTAACCCTCTCCCCTTACAAATGAGGACACCAGAGGCCCAGAGTGTTGAGAGCTCATGCTTAAAGCCATGGCTGCTAAAGTTCCAGAGATGAAACTGGAATCTAGCTCCTCAAATGCCAGCCTCCTGTTCTTTCCATGACACCCAGGCCTTTGGCCATGCCTCCTTTGTGGAGTTGGTTCTGCCATATGAAGCCACTGATGTCCTTGAACTCCAGATGAATTGGGTCATGCTAACCAAAGGGGGGCTTCCCTGGTGGCTCAGATGGTAAAGAGTCTGCCTGCAATGCAAGAGACTCAGATTTGATCCCTGTGTCAGAAAGATCCCCTGGAGAAGGGAATGGCTACCCACTCCAGTATTCTTGCCTGGAGAATTCCATGGACAGTGGAGCCTGGAGAGTTACAGTCCATGGGGTCGCAATGTCAGACACAATTGAGTGACTAACTTTCACTCTCACCCAAAGGGGATCCAGGCCCCTAGGGGACCCTGAGGTGGTGTGTGTTCCTTCTGGGCTTTTCCACTCAAAAGCCATGTTCATGAGCAAGTTCCCTCCAACCCCTCTTAAAAAAGTCACTTCATTTGTATTGTTTCTGTGGTCAGGAATGTAGAAAATGAGCCTATTATTTTTAAAAAAAATTCCTAGAAGTGAAAAAGAACTAAACGAGAATGGAAAGAAACTGAATTAGGAAGACCTGCGGGAGACTGAATCTCAAGAATTTAAAGAGTAGTCTTTCTAGAGCCCAGGGGATGTGGCGACATTAAACTCTGTCCATGGGCTCAGAACTTGGGATCACCCAGCAAGCCCATCATCCAGGTGGTGTGTGTGGCCCACGCAGAGAGAGAATGAAGCAGGCTCAGAGGTCACTGGAGACTTGGTGGAGAGCCTGGCTCACGGGTGGCTGCTCCAGGATTTAAGCCCAGGTCTCTGGCACTAAAGCCAGTGTCTTTCCGGTGATCCCTCCGCTGACCTGAACCCTGCCTTTCCTCCCTCCCTGCAGACACATAGAGAACTGGCGTGGCCTGCACACGCTCAACGCCGTGGACATGGAACTCTACACTGGCCTCCAGAAGCTGTGAGTGCACCGGCTCCTGGCGGGGGTGGGGCAGGGGCCAGCCCACGCGTAGTCCAGGCTTCAAGATACAACCTGAGCCCACGTCCCCTGAGTTAGCGCTTTCCTCAGTCCTGTGCTGGACCGATGGTCCCCAAGGAGCAGGGGTACTTCCAGTCACCTCCTCCTTTGGATTCAGTGTGAGTGTCCGTGGGGAAATTGGGGTGGGGAAACGGAGGAGGCTGCAGTGTTATAGGCGCTGGACCTGTCTTATCCACTTGCCAGGATGGGCGCATTTCTCACCCTCACCCAGGTCCCAGTGGGATGTGAGCCCAGATCCTGCCCACTGGTCCTGTGGTCCTGTCCCTCAACTGGACCACACGTGATGACCGGTGATGAAGAAATGCATTATTTACAGAAGTGGCTGTCGTCCACTCTTGGCCTCACTGGCTGTCAGTCTCGGCCCAGAGCAGAGCTGTAGCTCTACCCCATAAGCTCTGCTGACCCTCTTTTCCTCTCTCTCTTCAGGACCATCAAGAACTCAGGACTTCGCAACATCCAGCCCAGAGCCTTCGCCAAGAACCCCCACTTGCGCTATATGTGAGTAGAGCTGGGTCCCGGCCGCAGGAAGTCGGTGGGTGGGTGGGGGCAAGCATATGGCAGGGAGAGAGAGTCCTGGGCGGTGAAGCCCGAGGCCTGAGATCTGGACCTGGCTTCGTGCTAGTGTGTGTCCTGGGGCAAGTCCCATCACTTCTCTGGGGCTCAGATTTTTGCCTCTTAAAATGAGGATTTTGGATTTGATGATCTCTGAGGTTCCTATAGGAAGGTAAAACCTGAGACTAGGGGGTTAGTTTGTTCACTTTTTATGATAAAATTTGCAACTTACTGGGAATGTAAATGAAAGGAAATTCCCCATATAAGTGTAGTGTGTGATGTGAATATTACTCTTCAGAAACCATTTGTAGGTCCGCAAGTGTGTGTGTGTGTGTGTTGGGGTAGGGTTGGCTGAGGGAAAGCAGGTCCAGGTCAAGTGTCACGTCTAGATAGATCCTGGGTTCAGTGGCGAAGAGTTCTGGAAGGCAGAGACACCAGTATATAAAGTCGCACAGCTTTGGGATGCGCTCAAGGTGACCAGGCTCTGCTGGGATCCTGTCTGTGCCTCCGCCTCCCGCCTCTCCCCTCCCACCACAGCCGTGTATGATGGTGGCAGGGCCTCCGCAGGCTCAGCTCCCCCTAGACCCATGCAGATGGAATCTCACGAGCCTAGTGCTTCCTCTCTAAGCCTAGTTCTGGGCTGAAGACTCTGGGATTTGATGGGAAGACCACCACTTCCTGGGGAGGGACGGGCTTGAAGGGAAACCTAGAGCTGGCAATTAGGGAAAGTGCCAGCACACTGCACCCATGGGGTCCTTGGTATTTGGTCAGGTCTTCTTTGCGGATGGTGGCCGTCTTGGACATCTATGGGGCATGTTCTCTAAGAGCAGAGATTCCGTAGGAACCAGCGGGGTGGAGTCTACTGTATTTGGCCAGAAAATGGAGGAATGGCGTGCAGACGAATCTTTTGTTCGGCCACCTGAGAGTTGCTCTGGTGTAGGCACTTTGGACTTGAAGGGCATCCAGCTGCGTAGGAACCTCACAGGAAGAGACAGAGCATCCGAGGGAAGTGGAGGGGAGATGGAGGAAGAGAAAAGATCGTGGAGAATTGTGGTGGCAGAGTTGTTTCTCCTTTGGGGGGTCCTGGCCTCACCCTGGGCCTTTGTGTGTTTTTCCAAGCACCTAGTGAGTGCTTAGGGCTCCCCTGGTGGCTCAGCAGTAAAGAATCCACCTGCCAATGCGGGAGACACAGGAGATGCGGGTTTGATTCCTGGGTCAGGAAGATCCCCTGGAGGAGAGTGTGGCTACCCGCTCCAATATTCTTGCCTGGATAATCCCGTGGACAGAGGAGCCTGGTGGGCTACAGATCCTAGAGTTGCAACAGAGTTGGCAACGTCTGACTCGACCGAGCACGAGTGAGGGCTTGATAAGTGTTTTGTTTTGAAATCAATGATGGCCACCTCTGCTTTGTGCTGAACTTTTTTCCCTCCCTTTGGACACGGCACACCGCAGGGCCATTGCTCAGGGTCTTATGTAGTAGCCATGGGGGACCGAGTCCCTCTCTTCCCCCCACCGCAGATGTCTCAGTTATTTGTTGCCCCCTTGCCCTAGTTGAGCCTCTGTGGCGGGATTCTCCTGATGTGTGTTCTTTGCAGCTGGGGGTGTAGCTGGGCCAGAGGAGGGTCTCGGACCAGATGTTGCAGGTGTTTATTTTACTGGGGATTTGACGTTCCCTGTAAACTGTCCCAGGGGATGAAGCTTGTGATCTCTAAGAAGTCTCCTTTTCATACTAACTCATACCAGGGTCATGAGCCAGATGCCCGCAGCGGACCAATGGGGACAGTGGGAGCTGGAGGCCACGTGTTCCCTCTTAGGGCCAGCCTGTAAACAGCTCTAGCAGATTGCTGCTGAAAGAAGGTGGGGCCTTGGGTTGCCAGATTTACTGTGGGTTTGTTTTTTTTTTTTCAAGAGCTGGAGGCTCAGTGAAACCTCTCAAGTTTTAAATACTGGCACTAAAAATAAAGCCTCTCAACGCCATGGGCCAGGCAGCACTACCCTGTGGACAGAATGTGACATAGGGAATGCCAACTTGGGGGCCAGGGTCAGACTTGGGGGACAGAAGCTGCCTGCATGGGAGAGGCTCTGTTCCTTTAGACAGCAGTGGCTTGGTGCTCAGAATCTGCCTGCTATCACCTGCAGCTCTCTGGGCATTTGAGAGGGTTTCCAGATGCATCGCGTATCCAAGGGCCACAGAGGTGGGGAGAAGCATGCAGCTTGGGTTCCAGGTGTCTCTGAAGTGGGTTGTACTAGAACTTGTCTTTGAATTACCCTTGAGATCCCTGAAGAGGGCTGTGACCCACCATCTCTTTTGAGATGATCCGGGTCTGCTGGCAGTGACAGGCTGGTGGGGCTTTGCAAGATTCCCCAAGGCTTTGGGGGCAGGAAGGGTGCCAATGGAATAGGTTCTGATGATGCCAGTGAACCTGCCCGTGACCTTGGGCCCGTTTCCTCCTGTACACACTGGCCAGCTCTTGCCCATGTGTTGAGGTTGGCTGCACAAGGATCAAGAGAGATGGACAGGTCACCCTCAGTCCAACCCCATTTTGGGCCTGTCTGCATATTAAGGATGAGCTGGCTGCTCACATCCACGTGATAAGGTCAGCATCTGGCCTAGGGGCTGCTGGAGGAGGAGCCTGGGGGTCCCAGAGAGGAGAGTCAAGAGGTCCAGCCATGTGCACGCGCTTCATCGACGGATTTACTTATTAACTTTGCCCATTTACAGAGACACACCCCACATCTCGACTGAGTGAATTTCCCGGCAGCTCCGGGACACTTTCTCCTGGCAAATGGGCCAGGTTTCTCTGCTCTCTCACAATATCTTCTATTTCTGTCCTCTAAGTGCATTTACAAGTCTTCAGGCCCCAGCTGAGCAGTCATAAGACGGTCACTTATTCCAGCACTAATTGCCGAGCTCCAGCTTGGTGGCTTTCTTCCCCTCTTCTTCTCCTTCTTCTTCTTTTTTTTTTTTAGGCTGATGGCTAAGTCTTTTCTGCCCCCCCTTCTGTACACAGTAAGAAGCAGAAAGTGAAATCATTGCCTTCTGTACTGATGTCAAGTTATCCAAGTTGTTCTGATTGGTCCAGCTGTCCCGCACCTCTAAGCTGCTGTTGCATTAGTCATAATACTCTCTCATGCCAGAAAATGAGCCAGCCATATGAAGGCCAAATTGTCTGCCACAAAGAAGCCTGGAGACTAGGACTCTTCAAGGTTTATGAGTGACTGAGCATCTCTTTTTGACCGTGTCTGTCTTCTTTGTCTTTTATTGAGTGTGAAAAACTAAATACTGATTTATATACATTTGAGAGACTGGAATATTCTTGACCCTTATATATCCTTTCCTTGGTGAAAGATTTTGGATTTTGAATTCTTAAGGATAAGGATTTTCCAAATAGATCATTGGAACCACTATTTGATTATCTGTAAAATGGGTGTAATGATAGTGCCTGTTCTAGTGATAGGATATGATAAAGATTTATGATAGGAGGCACATATAGCACTTAGCCCAGTGCCGGTAAATCATGTTTATAAATGCAAGCTGCTAGTAGTGATGGGATTACTGTTATTACTGGGGTGGTGATCCTAGAATCAATGAGGAGAGATAATATGGCTTTGATGGTGATTATGACCACTTCTTTATTAAAGGAAAAGCTGGATTTCTGTCCTGTGTCTCTCTGGTGACTAGAAGACTCCAGACTACACTCTCCCTGATGACTTTCTTCCTTGAATACTGATTGATGAACAAACCCTAATAATTCTCTATAGTCTCCATTTAGTCCATCTTGCTCTAGATCAGGGATCCCTAACCTTTTCGGTACCAGGCACTGGTTTCATTGGTTTTGTGGAAGATGGTTTTTCTATGGAGAAGGCGAGGGGCTTGGAGGGATGGAATATACAACCGAGATCCCTGGAATGTGCTGTTCATAGCAAGATTTGCGATGCTATGAGAATCTGATGCTGCCACTGCGCTGACAGGAGGTGGAGCTCGGCGGTAACGTGAACGATGGGGAGCGGCTGTAAATACAGATGAAGCTTCCCTAGCTCACCCGCTGCTCGCCCGGTTCCTAACAGGCCACAGACCGGTACCCGTTGGGGACTCCTGCTGTAGACTGTGTGCACACCCTTCTTACCCTTGTTAGTTTCAGAAAGGATCCAACCAGTGGCAACTGAAGGGCTTACTCTTTGTTGATTTCCACCTCACTTGAGACCACACCCACCAGGGCCACAGAATTTGCATTGCTTGCTGAGTGCTCTAACCTCACCCCCTGCAGCAGACTCTTCTCTTCCTTTCTGCGGTTTGTCTTCCCTGGGATGGCTCACATGCATAACAGATAGCTGCAGTTTGGAGTCCCCGTAAGCAGAGTCATGACAGTGTTTACCTAAGACCTGCACTCAAATGATGGTGCTTGCTTTCATCCCTAGAGCGCTGACTGGTTTCAGAGTATTTTCTCCTATATTATCTGCTTTAAGCCCTTTACCATCCTGGGTGGGGGAGTGTGGTAGGCAGCCTTCCTTTATAGCCTGGAAGACAGGTCCAGGGAGGGCCTGACTTAGAAATAGCAGAGATACAGCTGCACTGAAGTCTTCTGGTTCTCTTTCCAAGAATCTTTCTCCTGTGGCTTATGGACCGGGAGGGACAATGTTTTTCACTGATGCAATTAAAAAATTTCTTAACATTTTAAAAAATTGCATAAAAAATGCAGGTATATGAGGAGCAGGGGAAAGACTAATACTGATTAAGCACTTTATGTGCCAAGTACTGGACCTGCTACTTTGGTAAATATGATCTCGCCCCTTACAGTAACTCTTAAGTTTGGACTCCCTACGCCCATTTCATAGATGAGGACACTGAGACTCATAAGTCATAACTGAGTTTCCCCAAGGTCACATAGTAGTTAGTGGTACAAGCAGGATTTGGACTCTGATCATTTGGGCACTAAAGTCCGTGG